AAAAGATTAATTATGACGTGCGTCAATATATCCGTATGTTTGCGTACCTAGGAACCATTTTGTCAGTTCAGGCGTATTGCTGAGACACTGAAGCGCCGAGTTCATAAAACAAGTGTTTCCCAAATTTTGTAATCCACAAACACCTCGAGTAAACTTTGAATAGGGACTAGATGTGGGCGTACTTGCGCTTGATGTGGTTGTCAAGTTATTGAATCCATTGGCGAATATGCTCGAAGCTGATGAGACAGAGGACGTGTCTGACTGTTTGACATCAGAAGGAAATCGAGCATCACCCTTGATAGCGACTGCTATATTACATTGACCGGATCGGCCCAAACTAGCTGATCCATTTTCTATATCGATCTGGGAAGCGTTTTGGAGGATATTTGAAGAGATGATGGGTGTCGTCGGTTCATCCTCTAATGTCCATACTTGTAATTCAGCGTCTTGTGATAAATCAAGAGATTCTTTTATAGTTGACACTAAATCATTTACAGTCGATACCTCTGACAAAGTGAATTGAGGGCACCGAGTAAGTTGAGTACTAGTCGAATCAGTGACTACAAAGAGCTTGAAATGGGGTGGATACAGTTCAACTGTAAGCTCCCCGTCAGTTCCCTTTATCATTAAACGTTCGATAGGCTCTGTGACTGATCCATACCATTCCATCAAATCTTTCCAAGCTTCTTCAGGTACTGCAAATACAGTATCATTTAGCTTTAAACCTTCCACAAGCTTTCCGTTGGCCTGCAATATCGATTGGTTGTTGATCGGCCCTGGGTTAGTTTGCTCTCCGATTTTTCTTGCGTCATGTTGAGGGCTGCTCAGACGAGAACAGTATTGTCTCCAACGTGTAAACCAATTCTTGGATACAAGGTACCATGTCTGCCCTTCTGATAGATGCTCTTGTTGTAATTGAGTAATTATCTTGACTTGATCTTTGGGATCTATTTTTGAAGCACGTTCCTCTACATCTTCCTCCATACTTGATTCTCTTGCTCTCTTTGTTGAAATAGGGCTCTTATCTGTTTCATTATCAGACATCTTGTGGCTTATTGTTATGCTTTATAAAGAAAAGAAGAAAGAAAGAAAGAAAAAAAAAAAAAGGAGAAAAAGAATGTTTAGGAAAAGCTGAACAAAACGTAATTGGCGCTCAAAGTGGACTTTAAGCGAATAGTGACAGTCACTATCGGAGCTGTAAATAATTGAAAGAATTGTGTACTACCCTCAAACGTTTGCATGGCTCTTCCCGCTATTTTTAAAATACCTAATAGTGGTATAGTCAATGGCAACCCTACTGGGGCTGCTGACTCTCGCTACAAGCCAAGCAAAGCTCTATTGCCATTGCTACTTCTCAGTTTTATGGAATGAATCTTAAAGAAATAGAGAATTAGAAGATACTTAATTTATGTAAACACAACAATGTTACCTTGTCCACCATGGCTGATATCGTAGACAACAATCACGGTATGTGATAATAGGACTACTAACGACTTTTAGACAATTTTATCTTTCTTCGCCCTTCTAACAGTAATCACTGACCCGGCCTAGATCTAATGAACAAAATATTGCACCGTACACTTTGGGCTGCTGTGAATAATAACACTGTTTTTGATGTATTGTACCTCTCTACAACTTCAGGACAAGAAAATAGGCAACCCAAACGCTATTACCAAAATAGAAAAATATTAAAAGAAGGCTATCGCATGGAAGTGCCGAATCAAGCTCTTTTAAGAGACCTTCATGCTTTGAGGATGAAATATAAGAAAGGAGAAAGACATAATATACTCCACAGTGCGCCTGTAAATGCTCTTGTATGCAAATGAGATATTGCAGAACATGAACGGCAACAATTATCCAGAGCAACCTGAAGTATTCTTGGGCGAATTATATTGCCGCTTGGGACATTATGCTCGCTTGACTTAAGTTCCTTCACATGGCATTGCCAATAAAATTGAAAGGAAGCATATGCTGGTTATCTTTTCAGCATCTATTTTGTATAAGGGCAGATGTAAAGGCAGAGCAAACATGATACAAAATAGCATCAGTGTGTGGCCAGTAAACAAAGATAAAGATGTGAAGCCAGACTACCATGGCCACTTCACAGCAGAAAAGCTCGAGCAACTTTTCGAAAAGATATATAAGCCCTTTGTTCTTTATGATAACTGTATCATCCATATGGATGGTGTATTTTATCACAAGTGTCAATACTGTACTTATTTCTGTGGACAAAAAGATACAACTGTAGAATGGTTAGTTACGAAACGCAAGCCTGGTTTAGCAAGTGACGTTTTTTTACACTATCTCACTGAATGCAATAAAGAAACCAGTGAAGAAAACTGTAAAGGCTGGAGGGATTGTCTTTGGTCACTATAAATAGAGGCTATTTCACTATTAATCTTTTTCACCAAACTGCATCCTAAAACCCTGCAAGAGGGGATGCATTGGAACAACTGTAACAGTGGTGTAATATTTTAAGAGGATGTGAGGTTGAATACAGAATATATGAATGATATACGTCTACAGGGAGAAAAAGTTCGATTCAGCCTCACCCATGGACGAGTATTTAGAATAAGTCTCATGTGTCTTATTGTGTATTCTACATCCTATAAAAAGAAAAGAATAATTGCCTATATCTTAATTGCTCAGCATATGTATGCAAGTATATCTACTGACGCAGTGCCAAGCATAATGACCTTTCTGTACCTTAACAATAAAAGGGCATCAAGTATCATGTGCGACTTTTCACTTTCCGGTAATAATGTATTTTTTCCTTTCTTTCCTTTCTTTCTTTCTTTCTTATTTGCAAATGAAGCCAGATACCATTGACATACCCACACAAAAACCAGATGCCATAGATGAGCCAGTGATTTATGATAAACCAAATACCTATGATGACAATGACAATACCAACAACGATAACAATAACAATCAGTCATTGCCACAAGAAGTACTCGATGATCTCATTATTCGATCTGATTTTGTAGACGGTAAAAGACCTGATATACAATTGGACGATGATGAACCACATAAGCGACCCTCCATCACTTCTAGCTTGCTTTCTCATGTACCCTTACCCACTTCTAGTCTAACAGCCACCACAAGTTCGACCAGTCTGTCTCCACCTCATGTACCCACGGCAAGTCAAAGTGCATCGAGTATAAGTAGTGTTGGGAGCGACAAAAGCACAGCAAGCACACGGATGGCGCTAATGCAGATTTTGAAAAAGAAACCTATGGAAGATTTGATAAAATACGATTTACGCAAAGTATCCCTGACCCGACCTGAAGAACAAGATGTATATTTTCATGGTACCAAGGTGCGGGCTTACAGAAAGGTTCAGCCTCACTCTTATTCATGGGGCTTTCAAAACATACTTTATCGTGTGCTTGAAGACAGTGAGAATGTCAAGGTAGCGGAAGCACGGAGAAGGGCGTTCAAAAAGGAAATTACAATTGAGTGGGGGGATTTCCCGATCTATGCTATAGATGAAGAACCACCTACGCCAGATAGCAGTAACAGCGAAGATGGAGCGACACGATCAAGACAACTTCATAATATCACCAAATCACACTTATTATTTACGTATGAGACTGAATTTGAAGGACATCAGATTAGATGGAAGAGGGCTAGTTTGTTATCACATGACATGGTCTGTGAAGTGAAGCATGGAGATAAATGGCGTGTTATTGCTGAATTTGACAGTCATCGCATGGGATACTTTATTCATTTGGGTGAATTGATTATTGATAGAAATGCGCTTCAAATAATAGAAAAACCTCATCATTTCGAGGCACATATTATTGTCATCTGTTGTACCTTGATTGATCTCATGCGAGAGGTGGTTGAACAAGCTGTTGGTATAAGCAAAGGTGGAATTGTGAATAGTGATAAATAATAAAAAATCATGTCATAAAAGTACTAGATTATATAGACAAGGTTGTACATATCTTTATTACACACATGCATCGATTTATTTTCTATTTTAAACCCTTTTTTTTCTTGTTTTTTTCATTTATTACTTTTTAAATATGGGCTGCTGTGCTTCAGTTGAACAGGGACAAGGTGCCAGAGTACGAAATGATCAAATAGAACAACAGTTAAGAATGGAAAAGTTGAATGAAAAAAATGAAGTGAAGCTATTACTCCTTGGTGAGTACACAGATAAATTGATTAGAATTATTTATTTTAATACTTTTTAAAGGTGCTGGTGAATCAGGAAAATCCACTATTTTGAAGCAAATGAAATTAATTCATGACGGTGGCTTCCCATTAGAAGAAAGAGAAGCTCATAAGGAAATCATTTTTAATAATGCCCTTCAATCTATTCTTGTCATTCTTGAAGCCATGTGTAATCTGGGAATCGAACTCGGGGACCCAGCGAATAAGATACATTTTGACAATATCATGCGTTACGAAACACAAGTGGATAATTTTACTATGCCTCCTGACTTGGTTGAAGGCATCAAGATCTTGTGGCAAGATCCTGGTGTACAAGAGACGTTTCGCAGAAGCAATGAATACCAATTGAATGACTCTGCTTCTTAGTAAATATTAATATAGAGTATGTGTAACTTTCAATAACATCAATAGCTACTTTGAACATATTGAACGTATTGGATCACCTGATTACATACCCACAGATCAAGATGTGTTACGCTCTAGAGTAAAGACGATTGGAATCACAGAGACCAAATTCACGGTGGGGAATCTTGTTTATAAGATGTTTGATGTTGGAGGACAAAGATCAGAAAGAAAGAAATGGATCCACTGTTTCGAAAGCGTTACTGCTATTATATTCTTGGTAGCCATATCAGAATATGACCAAGTACTAGTTGAAGACGAGACAGTAAATAGAATGCAAGAAGCACTGATCTTGTTTGACTCTATCTGTAATTCAAGATGGTTTGAAAAGACATCGACCATTTTATTTTTAAACAAGACAGATATATTTAAGGAAAAGATATCAACAAGTCCTATTAACAAATATTTTCCAGACTACAAAGGTCAACCAGGTGATTATGAAGCAGCATGCCAGTACTTTACCCATCGATTTGAGTCTTTAAACACTTCAGCAGATAAACAAATCTATACTCACTTAACTTGCGCAACAGATACGGAAAAGATCAAGTTTGTGATGGCTGCAGTAAATGATATTATTATTCAATCAAGTCTTAGAAATAATGGCTTACTTTAATAGTCACCTATTCCCTTATTTTCGTTTGTGTGTATATCTTTTTTCCTTATTTTCACTTTGTTACCTTTTACATTTAATCAAACACATGTCCTTGTGTATTCTTATTTAAAACACAGTTTACCTTTTTTTTTCTTCGTTCTTTTTCTTTTCTCGCTCTTTTATATATATATATATATATCATAAACATTCATGCGAACCCTTCTTCTTTTACTGCTATTTGCCATTGTTTACGTCGCAGCAGAAGGTAACTTTTACTTTTTCTTTTGATATTCTTTCCCCCAAACCCATTTTTAAAAGGCCTTACTACCTACATTGTCGCCTTTAAGGACAATACCAGTCAGAAAGATATTGAAAAGTTTAAACAAGACGTCAAGAAAGCAGGTGGAACGATTAAAGATGAAATCAACTTGGGGATAAAAGGATTGATCATTTCTTTACCTAAACCAGTCGAGGGTGCCTCTCTTGAAGCCTTGGGCACCAATGACAATATTGATTTTATTGAGGAAGATAGGACATTTCAAATCGAAGAACCCGGATTTGCTAAATAATAAAAGGTTAATTTTTTTATACCAATTTACTCATCATTATCAAGTATATACACACACACTCATTGACATCTTTTTCACCGATGCTTATACGGTTAAACAATTTTATTTATTTATTTATAAAATATAAAGGCCACAAGGAGCACGTAATATTTTTATTATATCGTTTTTGCCCTGGGCAGTTCAAGTTGTGAGGCAGTATCTAAAAATCCTTCTGGGCTCGGGAGCAAAAATGCTTTGGCTGACAGGTTCATGGAACAAGTGTTAAAAATACTGCTATGAAGAATTAACTAACCATTTAATCAGCTTCCGCCCTGGATCAGATGGTGATGGCTCTCGATGCTTATACGGTTAAACAATCTTTTATTAAACCCAAGTGGGCACGTAGTATTTTATATTGAAATTGCCCGGACAAGTTCAATAAGGTGGGGTGTATAATGTGGTGGAGATGAGAAGGTACTGGTGGTGAAGGGGAAAGCATACAGTCTAATGGGGATGGATAGAGAGTAATAAACTAATCATTATAAATGGTAGGCTAAGGCTTGGTGGTGTTAGGGTTCATGCTTATTTCAACCTGGGCGGGTGCCGCAATTATTCATAATTTGTTTATTTCCAACGGCCAACAACCGAGAGCCATACAGAGCGGCATTAAAATCCTCAAGAGCAAGCTACTGGAAGCGATTCTGTGGGATTCGAACGCAAGACTTTAGCTTCAAATCATAGATTTTCGACCATTGAGCTAGGAGCATAGACCCCCTCGATGCTTATACGGTTAAACAGATTTTTATTTACAATTAAAGCCTCAAGTGAGCGCACGATAATAATATATCTTCTTCGCCCGAGGCAGGTCAAAAGAGAATAAAGAACTGGTAACTAAAAAAACCCTTACGGGATCAAGGATAAAAAAGTTATGGAAGAAATGATGTTGGACCAGGTGTAAGATACACTAGTGAGGGGGCGGAGAAGGCGGACGCTTTTGGTGATGGAGGTAGTCAAGCTCAAAAAGAAGAGCGCAGATAGCTGGCCAACGGATGATCCATGAGAAAGCGGTTTGAAAGGAGTGTGGTCTCTTCATAGGTAGCATGTCCAAAAGGAAGGATAATGGATCAGAAATTGTTTCGGGTATCATAAGTCGGTGGTTCATCTGGAGACAGCAAATGGACTCGATGCTTATACAGTATTTCTAAAAATTATTGACACTGATGCCAAGAGTAAAATTCGCGCTTGCTAAATTCTAACGTCACGTTAACCATTGGTTGATTTCGCTTGCTGACAAATTAAATGTCGTATATGTAGAAGCTTTGCCGTCCAAAATATGAATACATTAAGCATGAAAGCACCACCAGTTCTCTCTCTCTTTTTTTTTTTTACTCTCTTTCTCATTAAAAACTAAGTATTACAATATGAGCTTTCAAATTTTCTATGAAGACGGGCACGGTAATGCAGTTGATGGATACGGTAGACCTGAGCCTATGGACTACACCATTGATGAGGAGCGATATGCTTTAGAAACAGTTAGCTCACACACTCAGTATTTGCATAATCAGCCTCAGGAGAATAATTTCGATGTAGGCTCTGTGGCAGATGAAGATGCAAAACATGATGTAGATGTTTGTATGAAGGAGGCGTCGAGTAAGCGAGCGTACACACTCTATACGGATCAAGACAAAGTTGGATTCTTTAAACTGACGTTTGAGAAAGTTATAAGTGCTTCAGCTGCTGCAAAACAATTATGTATTCATGTTCGCACAACTCAAAGATGGGCTCAAATGTACAAAACAGATCCTGCTAGTATTTTTATAAAGCATAAGAAAATCGGTCGCTCGCGTATACTTCATGAAGAACACAAGCAAGTGATCTTGGAGTATATAGATGAGAGTCCTTCAGCCGTCTTGGAGCAAGTCATGGAGCGACTACTTCAAAAGCTTCAGGATCTCAAGGTCTCTAAAAGCACTATCTACAATTTTGTAAGAACTGAATGTAGCTTGTCACTCAAAAAAGCCCAATTTCAGCCTGTAGATAGGAACAGTGAAGAAAAAATTCAGGAGCGTTTTAACTGGATTCATAGGTGGGAGTGTACAGACATGGACTTTAGAACTACGATTGTCTGTCATGGTCTTTTAAGGTAATAATACATGAACCACTTGGATAACTTTATACTGATTGAACATTACCTGCAGATGTACCAATCTATACTGTAGGCTCGCCATGGCAGCTCCAGATAGATATCGCTTATGGAACAGGGATATTGCTGCTTGCATCAACTACATGCACATCCTTCGTGGGCTTCGACATAATGGTATGGTTCCTCATAGGTTTCGCCGGGTTGCTGTTGCTCCTACAAGACGTCGAAGAAGGGTGGACCATAATTCTCTGTCGTAGTTATTGCTAGGACACATCTAGATGCCTTCGGGGTAAGTTGTATGGATGTAATAATTTTCTTACATAACTAACTGTATAACTCTTTATATTCTCTCCTTGGTACTTATTACTCTCATTTGTATGTCGTCTCCTTTTGCGCGCATTTTATTTTTAACCTTTGCGTAAATGCTTTTTTTTAATATGCGCCAACTATTTTTTTCATACACGTTATAATTTTATCCTCTTTTTGAAATTTATTTTTAATAAAACAGTACGCAAAGTAATGGTTAATAATGTTGGGTTGTGCTTATTTTTTAACATTAATTTATTGTATTGGTATATAAACAGTTCGCATTTTCGGTGGTAATTGTTGTACATATTTTTGAGTACGCCCCCTCTTGAGTACAACACATGCTTGTGTACGTGTCCTCCCGTAATTAGGCCGCTTCTACTCCTGGTCTTCTCTAAATATGCTTTGATGTGTTTAAATATTGATTAGCAATGATGTTTATTTTAAAAACTAAAGGCACAGGAAGAAAACACCGTCTGCATCCTTTTTGAACGTGCACTCATACGGTAACTTGCTTGCCTTTACTGTGTGCTTGTTAGTATAGGCTAGGACTTTATATTCTTTTAGTAAAAGTGTGGCGGCATATTCGTTCACTTCTTTAGTTATAGACCAAAGTATGCATCACGTATGCGATTATTCACCTATCATGATAACTTTTTGTATACTTTAACGTAACAGCTCTATAGAACTAAATGCAAATTCGGGTATCGCCCCGGATATATGAATAGACACCTTCTCCTTAATTAGAATTCAGAGAATCCCATTTTATTCACCATACTTTGATGCGTTTTTTGCCTTTGTATCCAAAGAGAGAAGATGGAGGAACTCAAAGATATGCCAATGCTCATAAAGTTTGGTGCTATCTTATACTTCGTAAATTGCATATACAAACATACATACATATGCAGCATAACGTTAAATTGACTCTAAAAGTGTCATTATTTAAATCAGCCATAATTTTGCCATTTTATCGTAGTAAGATGCCTAAGCATAATAAGGGACAACCATAAGTTTAGATATGCTATATTTTTATACACGAATAAGAAATTATTCAAGGAATCATTATGGCTATTATGTCATGAGGATATATGTGTATATTCTCACCACAAGAAATCCTTTGATAACAATACCATCAGGCTCTTTAAAATAAAACCAATGTACGTTTTACTTCCTTTTTTATTAACCTTTTTTTGTTAAACTTTTCTTTTTCTCTGTTCTTTCTTACATTATATGAGCGATCACCACAGTAAGTATTTATAGTATCACAAAGCAACAAAACTAATAAAAAACAGCAGTGAGCCAGGAGCGAGATCATGACGGTGAATTGATAGGCACAGATGAGACAAAGACATCAGAAAAAGAAATTAAAGAGCCCACTGCGGCCCAAGGACTAGCATCCCTTCTTAAATCATCATGGTTGAACATTCTATTAATTTGTATACCCTTTGGTTGGGCTTCGCATTTTGTCTGGACGCCCACTACTACATTCGTTTTGAACTTTATTGCCATCATCCCTCTAGCTAAACTACTCGGGTTTGCGACTGAAGAAATTGCGCTAAGAACAGGAGAGGTACGTTTTTTCGATTGAATGCATATGTCTTTTCTTTTGCTTACATAATCATAGGTCATTGGTGGGCTACTCAATGCAACATTTGGAAACGCAGTAGAACTGATCATTAGCATCATATCTCTCACTCAAAATTTAGTTATTGTTGTTCAGGCAGCCATGCTTGGATCCATTCTGTCGAATCTATTGCTCATCCTTGGCATGTGCTTTCTTTGTGGTGGGTATAAGCATAAAGAACAAGTGTTTAATGCAACTGCTGCACAGACTTCTGCCTCTCTTCTCTTCATCTCGGTTGTATCGTTGCTTTTACCTGCAGCGTTTTATGGCTCAACAATTAATACTGAATCTGAAGATCGAGAAAAGACAGATATATTAGATATCTCCCGTGGTACTGCCATTATTCTGCTTATTATTTATTTTGCCTATCTTTTCTTTCAGGTAAGACAACGCTAAGCTATCTTTTGTGTTTGCCAGACAAGCTCTAATATAAAGTTATAGCTAAAAACACACAAGTCCTTGGTAAACATATGTATGTTTTTTCCTTGTTCATTTGAAACTCTAACACCATCTTTTCAAAAGTTCTTGCAAGTCCCTGTAGAAGCCTTCAAGATTGAAAGACGATCATCACTTATTGATTTACTCAATAGTGGTAGGAGCCAAAGCGGAATTGAAGAGCAAGCTTTGTCGTGCTATACAGATGAAGACGATGATGAAGAAGAATCGCCCTCTATGCCATGGTGGATGGCTATTACAGTGTAACTGATATATACACGTACGACGAATCCAAAGTATTGACTCTTTTTTTTAGACTCGTAGTCGTTACTGTACTAGTTGCCATTTCTGGAGAGTTCCTTGTGTCTGCAATTGAAAGTGTTGTTCAAGCATGGCAGATTAGTGAAACATTTGTAGGTTTGATTCTATTACCTATCGTTGCTAATGCAGCAGAGCATGTCACGGCTGTTACAGTAGCGTGGAAAAACAAGGTAAGAACTTTAAAAAATCTCCAGTCCATTCATTCATTTTTTTTTCTTTTCAAAGATGGATTTGGCACTGGGAGTTTCAGTAGGGTCAAGCATGCAAATTGCCTTACTTGTAACCCCTATAATGGTTATCATCGGTTGGGGAATTAATGTTGACATGAGTTTATTTTTTAATATATATGAAACTGCAGTCCTATTTGCATCCGTTGTCATGGTTAACTATCTCATTATGGCAAGTGTTTTCGTTGTATGCACGATAAAACCCTATTTAACTTTTTTCTCGGATAGGGTGGAAAGAGCCATTGGTTTGGAGGACTTATGCTGTGTGCTGTCTATGTGATTATTGCTATAAGCTTTTATTATTACCCAGATGCTGCAGCAGGAGGATTAGATGGACCAACGCTCAATGTGACCATTGCTCCCAGTACAGCCTAGTTTTTTTTCTCTTTTTTTAATACGTAATTTATTTAAAATAAAATAAAACACGCTTTTTAATGAACAGCAACAGCACTGATTTGAATACCGCCATAAGGCTGATCTTGTCTGACCTTGATCTTGTCCCTGGAAGCCAACAACAAAACCTCGTAGAAGCGTTTGGCAGCTTCAGATTTACTGCTGGTGGTAGGTACCAACTCAGCAAATTTGACTCCATTGAACTGTGTAAGGCCTTCGATAGTCTCAAGTGTTCTGCGAGTGCTTTCGTTGAAAGTTTGAGTGGTCTGTGTACCAAAGAAATCAATGTCAAAGCCGGTATCTTCTGCTTCAGTCTATCGAGAAAGAGTAAGAAACACATCAACAGATATTTTATGGTTCTTACTGTTTGTTCGAATCGCTCACGGTCAAAGCCTCCAGTACCAATATCAACATCATAGTCGAAGCCGCCGAAAGGTTCAAGACCTTCGCCTGCTGGGGTAGGTGCACCAAGGTATGTCTCAGGATGAGCAGCGCTCTCTGGAGCAGCAGCAAGACGCTTATGACTGATTCTGGTAAACATATCTTCCAATTCAGTACCGACTGCATTACCACCAGGGCCTCGTAAATGAATCACAGGCTTCGCCTTGGTTGCTTCAAAGAAGTGGAGGTCCTACGTTATGAAATTTAGAAACAAATTAAAAACTAGACCATATACTTTACTCTGTTGACAATAGAAGATGTATCGCTGGTGTATCTGCGAAGATCTTCTTGAGGGATTTCTGTCACCTTATCGACGACCAATCTCTTACGCTTTCGTGTTGCTGGTTCTTGAACAGCCTCGGTATCAAAGACCATTTGTTCATCAACGGGCATGATACCCACCTGCATGAGTGTATCAAGAGAAGCTTCAGCAACATCCTGAGTGGATGGAAGATCAAATCTGGTATCATGGAAATCAGCACCAATGTCATAATCCAGATTATCATTGATATCAAAGCCAAAGTCGGCTGTGTTATCGGCTAGACCTGTCTGATCGTCCAAGGTCATACGCTTTAAAGGTTCAGAAATTTCAGCAGGTTCAAAAGCGGTATCAGCAAGTCCAGGCTGATCACGACGACCGCCTTCTGTTGTAGAATCAAACCTAAGACCCATTTCGACGTCAGTAAAAAATCCACCCTCGAAACCGCTCAAAGTGATATCTTGAGAGGGGCTAAAATCCAATGAATCCAAGATAGGGTCGATTCCGTTAAGGCTAAGATAGTTTATCAGTTATCCATTTCATTATTCAGGCTGTTGATCATTTACTTTTGATTAAGAGGTACATCGGGTAACAAAATATCGAATTCGGTCAACTTGTCTTGCAAAGTGATGGCATTGACGTTAGCAACAGAGTGATGAATATCTGGCATATTGACATCCCCCTTTTTAAATGCCTAGTAATTAAATAAACAATTAAAGATTGCATAAATGCTTATGTTCTTTTGTTTTTACAAGCTTAATCTTGACAAGAGCATCGTTACAATCTTCTAAAAGGTATCTTGTTTTTCTTGAATAAATACGAACAACGCCTAGTAACAATTGACCTGAAATACGAAGAGATGGTTCTTCTTCTTGGTTTGTCTCGATGGCATCTAATAACAAATGTCTTTGTTTTAGATTGTTTTTTAAACGATCTGTATATAAAAATACCAATGGTCTTTTCAATGTTTGTTTGTAAGAATTGAGATTTAGACAATTTTCTCTCCCAATGAGAAGCTAACCAAACACGAGCCAATGGCCCTTGTCTTGTCAATTGATCTGTTAACATACTTCTTTTAAAAAAAAGGAAACTTTGCTGCCACGAACTTTTTTACTAAGCGCGTTGCTACTTCATCGCGCAGAGACCGCGTCACAGCTCGATTCTAATTGGCTAATGCAGCAGGTACATTCACGTAATAAAAAAATCACTTCGGCATTTTGAAATATAAAGTTTTCCAATTTGCGTAAAGATTATTGAGTCTCAATGAAGCAACATCACAATATATAATAATCTGGTAGAAATTTTACAGTCTATGAAGAGTATTTATAAAAGTATCTCAGCAAAGGGACTACGTAGTATAAGCTTTTTCTTTTCATTATAATTTTGACTATGGCATTAACCCTTGTTTATGATATTTTATTTCCAAGCTGAATGTTACTATGAATTCTTTCAGGATACTCTTAAATCACTAAAAAAAAAAGCAAGTGTGTTCAATTTGAGGCATTTATTAAACATTTGATCTCTATTACGACCAAACAGTTCATTACGATTCATGCTTTACTACGCAACGCTTGAATACTATTATGGAAATCATCAAGCTAATAGTGTTATATGCTGAATTTTCTTTTTCCTTTTGAAGAGATGAAATGAAGCCAACCAAAAGGCCTCGCTTATTTGTTACACAACCAAAACATGGATCAGGTAACTTCTTTTGGCATATTTCTCCAAGTTTCTTTTCGAGTGCCACTTTAGTAAACTAGGGACAGCTTTTCCCATGATTGAATGGGTCTAAAAACACGAAATATGAATGCTTAAGTTGAAACAATAATTTGACTAGGACTAGTTCGCTATAGGTTTTATTTTCATAAAGAAAAGAGTAGCGACCATTTATGTATAATCAGTTGATAATGATTGGTACGACGAACAATAACTTTATCTCTTCTTTGTTGACAGATTAAAAGTAAAAAAGTTCTTTTTAAGATACGTGGGAACTGCTTATCCTCCGGATCGAATCATTAAAAAGAGGCTGTCTTTATAAAGAAAGCATAGCGTCAGATGACTTGAAACCTTAAACATTTCCTAATTAGTAGAAAATACGGTGATAGAGTTTGAATGAATACAAAGATTCCTATGGTAACAGCAAATAGGATTGTGTCGGACACATAAATTGGGATATTGTTGTCCTCCACATATCGAACAAATCTAATAAAGCAACAAAGTAAAAAGTAGAACTAGACTTTTGAGCAATATAAATCAATATAGATACAGTTGCAACATAGCAACGATAAGCTATGCAAATATTTTATTGCTTTATCTTTTATCAAATATGACTGATACGGTAATCTGAGTTTAAACGGGAAATCTATGTGTTGTGTGAACTTTTTCTTGTTCTAAACCTTATCCAGATCATTAATTTACTATAAAATGCAAATACGAATGGGCCCTTTTTATATTCCACACTTCTTTTTTTTTTAAAAAAAATGATCACTGAAAAAACACAAGATGATCGCTCATCTATCTTTTCTAACAAAGAGGAAACAAAGATAGAGCATCTTACTGAAGCTGATGATAGAATATCAGCAAGCTCATTGGAAAGCCAACAGCCTAAGCTAAAGCGATCCCTCAAGGCTCGTCACTTAGCTGTAAGTTAATGTATATACTAATATGATGTATCTAACACACATTTATATTCCAATAGATGATTTCGATAGGTGGTGTCATAGGTCAAGGCCTATTCCTCTCTTCTGGTGCAAATCTGAACGCAGCTGGTACATGAATAATCTTTCTTAATTGTTGACCATTGTGTTTACTGAAAGCAACAATATAGGTCCTGCAGGTGCTCTCATTGCCTACGGCATCATTGGCTTCATCGTATATTGGGTTACTTACTCTCTAGGTGAAATGGCTACTTATATCCCTGTCTCCGGTTCTTTTACTATCTTCTGCCGTCGATTTGTTGACAGCTCATTTGGTGCTACTATTGGTTATAACTATTGGGCTTGCTGGGCCATCATTGTGGCAAGTGAACTGACAGCCATTCCACTTATTATGAGCTTCTGGACCGACAAAGTTCCATCTTGGGCATGTAAATATACTCCATCTAGTTATTGTATTATTTTACTAACTGTGACTATATAGGGTCCGGCATATGGCTGATCATTATCTTCGTTTTGAATATGTTTGGTGCTCGTAGCTACGCCGAAGCTGAATATATTTTCAGTGTGGTATGGATTCCTTTTTATAGCATCAAATAACGAAATCATTGATAAATATATAATAGATAAAAATTCTAGCCGTCCTTATCTTCATTATCGTCGGATGTGTTACCTCTGGTGGTTTAATAGGGTAAGATAATGTTTATTTAGTGCGATATCATTCCGACTAACTAATGATTCAATAGAAATACATCGCCTCATGAAGTTTATGGTTTCAAATATTGGAAAGACCCTGGAGCTTTTTCAAACGGTGCTCTTGGTGTTGTAAATGCATTTGTATTGGCTTCATTCAGTATGCAAGGTACAGAAATTGTTGGCATCACTGCTGGTGAATGCGAAAATCCTGTGAAGGTATTTATTGTATTACAAAGTTTGTCTTTAATTGCTCACCACGCATTATTATTTTGTAGCAAGTACCTCGCGCAATTAAAAATGTATTCTGGCGTATTCTTATTTTCTATTTGGGGTCAGGTATGTGCATAGATAAAATAAACTACCTATGTTATTTACTCTTACTATTATCTAGTCTTTGTCATGGGTATGCTCATCCGGTATGACGACCCTCGTAATCTTAGTGAGTCAAGTAGTGTTACCGTCTCTCCCTTTACAATCGTCTTTGAATTGGCTGGTTTAAACAGCGTGGCTCATGTCATGAACGCTGTTATCTTGATAACAGTCTTATCTTGTGCCAACAGTGGAATGTATGTCAGCTCTCGTATGCTCTGTGCACTGGCAAATGAAGGTATTGCCCATAAGAAGCTTGGTATGTTACACTTAGAGTACACTGGGAGAGATCTTACCAACCTTATCTGACTTTCCATATATAGCACACATCTCTAGTCGTGGTGTTCCCATATACTCTCTTATCTGTACTGCTCTTGTATGTCTTGTGACCTTTGCTACTTCATTTATCCCAGGAAAGGCCCTCTTCATTGTCCTCACATCACTCTCTGGTGTTGCGGGTTTCGTCACTTGGGGAGGTATTTGCTTTGCCCACTATCGATTCCGTAAAGCTCTCAAAGTCCAAAACCGCAGCATATCTGAACTACCTATCAGAACGCCTTTTCACCCATTTGGTGATATCTTCGGTATGATCGCCTGTGTAGTGATCTCTCTTATGGCCGGATACTCTTATTTTGTTCCTCCAAGCGCTACTGGATTAATAGGTAACTATGCTGGTCTTATCCTCTGTGCTATTGGATATATTGTTACCAAGCTCTGGACCAAGTCTAAGATGGTCCCGTTAGACAAGATTGATTTAGATACTGGTAAAGCTGATATCATGTTTACGGAAGAAGATAGAGATGAAATCACGGGACCATGGTATACTCGTGCTTGGAAGCGCTTTGTTAATATTTTCACCTAAGAAATGTATTTATAATTATGTACTTATACCTTATTTTTTAATAAATAAAAAATATTCGTTATTTTCTCTATGGTTATGCAGCTATTCTGTATCACACGATGCATTATGCAAACATTCAAACGGAGATCATTTATTACTGTATACCTGTCATCACCTTCATTATATATATATTTTTTTTCAATTGAAAAGGGTACTTTCACTTAGCATATGCTCACTTGTGTATTAAACCATATCTAATCACTTATTAAAGCCTTGTAAAAATAAAAAGAGAGTTAATGTTCAACATTGCACCCTACATTTCAAAAGTAATCTTCATTACTCAGATCACCAAAATAAGCAGATGCTAAATCATTCTAACATAGTATGTAAGAGCCCTTCATGCCAATGATGAAGGTGTAAAGGTACCGTACAGTCACACCCAGTTTGGAGTTGTCCTAATGGTGGATATTGTCGGTAAGTTGAATAAACTACATAACCTAACAGAGACTCATGCTCTAATAGGATTCAGTTCTGTAAGAATATATCTTTTCAATTGATATCCTGCTTATATATCTCGATAGTTGACAACTATGGCACAAGAAAAAGGCGATTCAGGCGCTGAGGCCATTGCCATGGAGATCGGTGCATATATGGGAGAGGTAATTGCATGCTTAGTCTAACGTAATTTTTTAACTAATTTTAATAAAAAAGTGTATTCAAGTCATTGAGTTTTATGGAGGCGATGTAGTCAAGGTAAAAACGAATAGAATTGCTGGAATTTTTGTATATTTAAAAGCCATATGAAAAGTTTCTAGGGGACGCTGTATTAGTTTGCTTTCAGAATATACAAAGACCCAAAAAACAAACTTCGGATAACAGTACCTCCATGCCAAGAGAAGACAGTGAAATGACACAGCGACAAAATAACATTTTGATAAGGAAAGCTGTAGAATGTGGCTTACAACTCCTTGCGAGATTGTCCCATTATAGAGTATACTTGACCGCTGAAGAAAGATCAAAACATAGAGTAGCAACCTCTGAAGATAACGAAGGATCTATAGGTCCTTCATTGTTCGACTGTATGAATCCAATGGAAGATAGAAACAGCGACGAGCAGTCAGGATCTGTATCAGATACGCTTATAACGAACCCTGATATCACACCAAGTGCCAATGAGGACGAATCACATTATTTTATGAATGACTGGTTGAATATACTGATGCCTAAGAAGCGTCGAAAACAAAAAAAGCATAATTGTGATAGAAGGCTAAGTGCATCCACAACTGAAGGTTCCATACATCAACATAATACGAAAAATTCGATTGACCTAGAACTACATATGGCACTATCGTGTGGAGACGTTGTCAACATTGTTTTGGGAGATACCGATGCAAAGGAGCCTTATACATCAGATTATGAAAGCCCCTACACTTTAAACAGTCGCAGTATATCGTATGCAGGAGAACAGCCTATAGAAAACGAACCTATTGAGTGCTGTGGAAGATTAGAGTACGCTATAGGAGGAGAAGTAGTAGAATTACTGGATGAGGCTCTGTCTATTGCAAAAGCTGGCGAGATGTGTGTCACTCCAGCTGTATACGAAATCATTCGGTCACAGGGACTAAGCTTAACCTTTGAAAGCAGACGTCAGTTTTATGTGATAAGCAATATAGTTGATTCAGCATCCGCACCAAGAAATGTCACCTTTACCTATGCTCAGCCCTATAAACACACAAACGGGCCAATTCATAGAAAAAATAACCCTACAAGCAATAAAAATAACCTAGAGTATTTAAACGCTCTACCTGGTATACGAATGCAAGGATCCAAGCTAAACATAGAGCCACTTGTTCCACGAGTGAGAAATGCATCTTATATGAACATACCAGCCAATCGAAACGCATTTTACTATAAATACTTGAATCAAAGCGCACTGTATCGTATGCGAAACAGTATTGGTGGAAATATACCTGCTCAATTTCGCGATGCGACCATTATGTTTATCAGTTTAGGTAAGGCAAATGTGGCAACCAAGAAAGGCCTTGAAAAGACACAAGAAGCCGTTACAATCATCATTAAGGCCCTGGTAAAATACGAAGGTATGCTTCAACAATTTGCTATTGACGATAAAGGTATGATACTACTTATCCAATAATGCTCCATGTATTTATTGTTTTATAGGTGCTACTGTATTATCTGTCTTTGGTCTTCCTCCTTTATCACATGAACGAGAAGCTGTATTCGCAGCCAAGGCAGCATTAGAAATACGAGAATCCTTGCTGAGATGCGAATATGAAGATTTTGCGATTTCACTATCTACAGGAACTATATTTACTGCTGTCCTTCCAAGGGAGTGCCCTTACAGGCAAGATGCTGGCATAGCGGGCGACACTATTGTAATTGCTGTGCGTATGCTCAAGTTTTTGTTTTCAAAACAAAACGTCGTATGTGATCAGGCGACCAAGAAACAAATTGGAGGCCTCTGCGAATTTGAAGATTTAGGAGAAAATCTAGTAAAAGGCAAAACAAAGCCTTTTCAAATGTATAGGATACAAGAGTTTACTCCCCCTGAACGTGACAAGCGCATATCTCTATTGAGCATTGAAAAACCAAATGGATTCATAGGCTATAAATCAGAATTAGCTAAATCAACTGCCTTCATTGACAGTTGGTATGAAGCACCTGATCATCACGTCTTGGTGATTTCTGGGCCGTCTGGTACTGGAAAAAGTTTTCTCTGCAACAAGTTGCATAAAATGATGACATCCCATGGGGTACTAAGCTGGTAAGAGTAAATCAACTAATATTGCTGTATGTGCTAATCTGTTCTTGTTTGAACTATGCGTAGCTGGTCGTCGTCTACTGAAGGTAATATATATATATATATATATATTGGATTACATTATTAAAGCTAAAAGCAAAATATAGTTGAGAAGGGGAGTAAATACTATTTATTGAGAAATCTGATTATGGCTCTCTTGGATATCATTATCTCTGATAGAATTCCTCAGCGATCGGCACTCAAATATGAATCCAATAGCAGCTATAGTAGTAGTAACAACAGCTTTACGTCTCCCATGAACAGCTATCCACAAGTAAACTCAGAAGGCTCAACTGATTCTTCACCCTCACGTGTGTCATCCAACTTTATTAGAAGCCATGGTTTTTTTAGGCGCTTAAATTCACGCGCATCCGTACCAGCCTCCTCCTGCGTTTCTCATCCTAATTACACCGAAAGTAACAATGAAGTCGTAGAATTAATACGTCACTGTTTGGAAAAATGCGGAGAGGAAGAGGGATATATACCACTTTTTAAAGCAGTTCTTCCTGGTCTGAACGACATTGAGGAAAATCGATACACACGGTTGTTGGACGGTAGAGCACGAGATATATTGTTAACTGGTGTCATTACTCGAATCACGCACTATGTTTCAAAACATATTGGACTGGTATTTATTTGTGATGATGTTCAGTGTAAGCGAAAAATCTGAAGCAATGTAAATAAATATCTAATAGTATGGCGAAAGGGGCCGACACTGCTTCATTAACTATATTGCAAAATATACACGAACACTGTCAACGAATAATGCTACTTATGGCAACTCGTCCTCTCAGAGATTACAATTTGACGTTTCTCGATGTGTACAAGCTTGTCGGCTCTTATGAAGAAATACAACTAAATGGGCTCTCTAAAGATGAAATTGGCGAAATCATCCTTCAAAGTTTCGATGCTGGTGTCAGTAAAGTTAGCCCGATTATTGTTAACGTTGT